GGGGGAACGGAACGCCAGAATTAGATCCGTTCCATGGTGGACCCTCTGACATAGTAGCGAATACGGAGTCGATTGGCAAAAGTGCTGGGCGTAGGGGTGCACCCGAACTTTTCTGAACAATTTCCTGGCTCTGTTCTTCTCCTTTCACTTTCATTCGATACTTTACACATATATCATCATCCACAAAGTCACCATGCAAGCTTATCGCTATGAAACTGCTGATGGAGTCATCAAGCAGAGGAAGCTGCCCATTCCCGAACCTGCCGCTAACGAGGTCCTCATCACTGTCAAAGCCGCAGGTCTCTGTCATTCCGACCTTCACATCCTCAGTGGCGGCTTTGAAAACCTCCAGCCATTTGGAGTTCACGCTCCTCTGACATTGGGTCACGAAGTAGCAGGAATCGTCAACAAGGTTGGCTCTCAGGTGGCATCATTCAAGCCTGGAGATAGAGTGGCAGTGGCTCAGGTCGGATATCCCAAGGAAAACGCCAACTGGGACATATCAGTAGGCCTCGGCGTCGATGGAGGTCTTGCAGAGTACTGCATCTCTGACGTGAGTCAAGTGGTCCACGTCCCTGCAAACGTTCCTCTGCATCTCGCAGCCGTCGCTACCGATGCTATCAGCACCGCCTATCACGCCGTGGTCACAGAGGCCGAAGCCGGACCTGGCAGAAACATCGCCATCTTGGGTCTGGGAGGTCTCGGTCTCAATGGAGTCGTAGCTGCCTCACTTCGTGGTGCCAACGTCTATGGTTTCGACATTGACGAGAAGAAATTCGAAGCCGCCCGCGACTCTGGTGCCATCGCTTGCCACCAGAGCCTGAACGATGTAGACGACGCCTTCTTCGATGCCGTTGTTGATTTCGCAGGTGTTGGCAAGACTACCGCCTTGGCCATCAATCGCGTCAAAGTTGGCGGTGTGGTCGTCTTGGTCGGCCTTGGGGTGAACGAAGCGACTCTGCCTACTTCACTCTTGACCATGAAATCGATCCACCTCAGAGGATGCATGGGTGCGAGTCTCCAAGAATACCGTGAGGTCTTGGAATACGTCGCCTCAGGAAAGATCACTCCGGTCACTGAGCAGATCTCGTTTGAAGACGTCAGCGACGGCCTGGAAAGACTGGCTGCTGGCAAGATCTCCGGGCGACTTTGGACAGACCCTTCAGCAATGGGACCAGTCTAGTGACTAGCCGTCCACTGTCTCGGTATCGTTGGTCGGAAACGTTCACTGACCATGCAGGTCACTGTCCCTTTCTGACCGTCCCGCTGGCAAAGTACAAAGCGACTACGCATTGCTGGCACTCTGTACTGTAAGGTCGCGAGGCCAATCAAGAACTAGGTACGGAATTGGGTGTCTGGAGAGCTTAGGAGCTCTAGTCTCAGGGCAGTACATAGTCGAACAATCAAAGAGTCAAGCCGGCACGCAGAGATGGGGCGTCGTACGGAAGGTGCCTCTTCAGAACACTCCCAAAACTTGTTGTCTCACCATGGGCATCGATGACGTGGATGGACTCGGAGCCTGACCCATGTTAAGCAATCTCGCTGGCAAGGAGAGATGAGGTTCATCGTACAATCCTTTCGAGGTCCACCTTCCGCTTCCCCTCACCTTCTCGCAACTTTCACTGTTGCTGGAAGCCGCCAAGCTGCGACCGCTCTATGCCTTTCGTGGTATCGATCCCGCTACACGTGATTGATCTAGCTGTCTTAAGGATTGACCAAGCTACTTCGAGGTTTAGGGTATTAGCAGCGGGAGGCGCCGCAGGTCGACGAATCGCAGTTTGAATTCGAATTAGAGCAAAAAAGCGGAAGGTGGACCTCGAAAGGATTGTAAGGCGTGCTAGGTGCAGCCAAGGAGCGGACAGGAGCGAGTCAATAGACGCTGGGGCATGGCATGCATAAGCGGTACTGATGGCCCAACCGCGAGCCGATCAAGCGGCGCACGCGATTGCAACAGATTGCCGCACAGCCCGTGCGTTGCCTCGCAGCGGTCAATTCGGCGCGCGCCGAGCCCGACACTTGAACGAAAACCTTATGCACATCGACCGTTACCGACGCGAAGCCTGCTGCATGAGCATTTTGCGGCGATCATTGTACTAGCACTGAGCGAATGGGAACTCTCTGAGGGTACTTGCCCTGTCCCCGCCCGATGAGCGAACATGATCGCGATGCTTACCAAAATGGGATGGATCTAATCTGCCGGTGCATTGCGACTTATTTAACCAAGCTCATCACCTCAATCTGGACCTCAGCTTCGTGTAACGGATCAAGATGACCAAGTCAATCCCAACACCCTACGGTTACCCACTGTTGGGTAACATCCTCGAGATCGATCCTCAGAACCCAACTCAAAGTCTCGCAAGACTCGCTGCGATCCATGGTGCGTATATTCTAGCAAGGCAGAATTCCTGGCAGGAGCTCACATGAATACTAGGACCAATCTTTAGATTGAGACTGCCAGCCGAACGCATCTTTGTCGCCAATTTTGCCTGTGCCGAACCTCTTTTCGACGAGAAGAATTTCCAGAAGTCTGTATCGGGTCCCCTGGAGCAGGTGCGCAACGCAGCCCACGATGGACTCTTCACCGCGTATCCCGACGAGCCCAATTGGGCGGTTGCTCATCGCACCCTGATGCCTGCTTTTGGCCCTCTGCCTATTCAATCAATGTTTGGAGGTATGTCTTACTCTTCAGCTCCGTGTTGTGCATGATCTAAGATGTCTCTTAGAGATGCAAGATATTGTGTCTCAGATGGTTTTGAAGTGGGCTAGATTCGGTCCTGAGAACCCCATCGATGCTAGCCATGACTTCACCAGGCTCACACTCGATTCGATTGCACTGTAAGCGGGATCAGCCAGTGAACGTACGGATCTGTACTGATGTGAGGTTCTAGCTGCGCAATGGGCACCCGTTTCAACTCCTTCTACCACGATGAGATGCATCCGTTCGTCGATGCTATGGTCGGAACACTTTCAGAGTCGTTTGCCAGATCAAGACGTCCTCCCATGACTGGCTTCCTGTACAAGAAGCAAGATGAAAATTACAGGCTCGACATCCAGGTCATGAAGGATACTTCAAAGCAACTTCTTGACGACAGAAGGAAACACCCCAGCGACAAGAAGGATCTTTTGAACGCAATGATCAACAATGTGGACTCCAAGACTGGTCAGAAGCTTAGTGACGATTCGATCATCAACAACATGATCACTTTCTTGATTGCTGGTAATATAGGCTCCCCTCCCCCCCCCAGAAACTCGCACCTCGGTGGCTAATATGCTTTGCTAGGCCATGAGACTACATCTGGACTGTTATCGTTCCTTTTTTACGAGCTGCTCGAGAGCCCAGAAGCGTATGCAAAAGCAGAAGAAGAAGTCGACAAAGTGTGTGGCAAGAATCCCATCACTGTGGAGCACATGGGAAAGCTTCCGTACATCGAGGCCTGCCTAAGGGAAACGCTTCGTCTACACCCAACGGCGCCAGCGTTCACCGTCGAAGCAAAATCTGATCAAGACCTCAATGGCTATGCGGTGAAGAAAGGAGAGTCTGTCAGCATCATGCTTCCCAGGCTCCATAGAGACCCAGAAGTCTATGGTGCGGACGCTGAGAGCTTCAGACCCAGTCGCATGATGGGCGAGTCTCTTGAGAAGCTGCCGTCCAACGCTTGGAAGGTGGGTGACTCTTGTTGAAAACATGTCTTGACACCACTAACGTGTTTAGCCTTTTGGTAACGGTATCCGCGCTTGCATCGGTCGTCCATTCGCTTGGCAAGAAGCCTTGCTCACCGTGGCAACACTTCTCCAGATTTTCAGATTCTCCAAACATCAGCCAAACTACAATCTCAAGATCAAGACTGCCTTGACCATCAAGCCTGATGGCTTTTTCATTCGGGCCACTGTCAAGGACCCCGACTTCCTAGAAGCTGCTGGCCTGGGCTTCTCCCAAGCAGACACCAAGTCTAGTCAAAAGAAAGGCGGAAAAGGCGGCAAGCATGTCGACGACAAGAATTTGACTCCCTTCACCGTCCTGTACGGTTCCAACACTGGAACCTGTGAGGCTCTCGCGCAAGCACTGGTCGATGCAGCTCCGGATAACGGATTCTCGGCTACTTCGGCTACCTTGGACAGCGTTTCTGGAACGCTGCCAAAGACTCCGCTTGCCATCATAACTCCAAGTTATGAGGGTCAACCTCCAGACAACGGTGCCCACTTCATGGAGTGGCTCAAGTCTGCGGACAAAGAGCAGCTAAAGCCTGTCCCTTACGCCGTGTTTGGTGTCGGTAACAGTAAGTTTCACCATCATGAATATTCTTGTCCACAAACTGATCATATATGCAGAGGAATGGCGAGCCACTTACCAGAAGATTCCTACTCTGGTAGATGACGCTTTCCAGGCTGCCGGGGCCACACAGTTGACCAGGAGATACGCCGCAGACGTCACCGATGGCAATATCTTCGACAACTTCGACGCCTGGCTGCAAGATGAATTCTGGCCAGCCCTGCGCAAGGCGACCGGTCAAAAGGCCGATTCAGGGGCAGGAAGCGGCGGTGTCAAGGAGCTCAAGATCACCATCGACACCAACGTTCGTTCTGAACATCTGCGTTCAGATGTTCAGCTTGGTGAAGTTTGTGAGACCCGCTTGCTGACGTGCCCTGGTGCACCGAGGAAGCGTCACATTGGTATCAGGCTGCCTACTGGTACTGAATATCGTGCTGGCGACTACTTGGCGGTACTTCCCATCAACCCTGCGGAGGTCGTCAGACGGGTCATGGCTCGCTTCAAGGTGCCTTGGGATGCAGTCATGAAGATCGATCCTTCCGTATCGACTGCACTTCCCACCGATGTTTCTTTGCCTGTTCAGTCGGTTCTCGCAAGTATGGTAGAGTTGAACCTACCTGCTACCCGCAAAGCTGTGACTTCAGTCATCGAAAGCATACCGGATTCCAAGCTTGCAGACCAACTCACCAAGAGCTCTCAGGATGAGGGCTTTCAGAAGAGCAACCCTTCCTTGCTCGACATTCTCGAGGAATACCCAACTGCAACCTTCTCCCTGGGACAATTCTTGGCTTCCATGACCCCCATGCGCCTCCGCCAGTACAGTATTTCTTCGAGTCCCCTCGCAGACCCCAATGTCTGTACCTTGACCTACAGCGTCATTGATGCGCCCTCGAAATCGAAAGCCAACAAGAATGGACACAGATTCCTCGGTGTGGCCACCACTTATCTCGAGCGTCTCTCGGTTGGAGACCAAGTTCACGTCGGCCTGCGACCCAGCCGTGCGGGCTTCCATTTGCCCAACGACGACTCGAAGCCCATCATCATGGCTTGCGCCGGCACCGGACTCGCGCCCTTCTACGCCTTTGCCGCCGAGAGAGCTATCAAGAAAGCCGGCGGTATCGAGACTGGACCGGCACTTCTCTTCTACGGCTGCAATCATCCCGACGAGGACGACATGTACAGGGAAGAGTTCGACAAGTGGGAGAAACAGGGAGTCATATCCGTCCGTCGTGCCTACACGCATGCACCGGAGGCGTCAGAGGGCTGTAAATTCGTCCAGGATCGTGTCTGGCACGACAGAGAAGATGCTATCGAGTTCTTCAAGAAGGATGCTGAATTGTACATCTGCGGTGCTGGCGTAATTGGTTCGGGTGTCGAGGATGCAATGGCTCGTATCCGAATGGAACAGAAGGGTGTTGATAGAAAGACCGCTGACGAGTGGGTCAAGTCTACAAAGGGCGAGAGATTCTGGGCGGATATCTTCTCTTAGTAGTGTCCTTTGTCATGTAGCTACTCAAATTCATAGCTCTTGTCAGTCCATGTTCTGTGGATATTCCGATAAAGATCCGACTGAGTTTTATATCAGGGTGTCCCTTACAGCGAGCATAGAGTACCCATGAGCTTATGCTCTCATGTCCTCCAACAGCGGGTCGCGCTTTCGAAAACGGGGAGAACGATCATGCATATGCAAGGAGGCAGCTGCTCACCGATCCGACAATTCCCAAGCGGATTCCGGTGGGGCTTCGAGCGTCGTCTCGGCAATATTTGAGGATTCACGACGTTTAGGGTGCATAGGAAACTTCAATATCATACAAAAAATGCGATGGAGAGGTAGGTAGACACTCATGCACATTACCATCTAATAGTTGAGTACAACCAGACCAGTGTATGCGTGGCCTGCAGCTTCATAGATCTTGGTCTTGGGCCCGGGTTCTGTGAAACATTCCCAAATTCTTCCACTGAGATCTGCCACGTAGATACGCTGCTTCTGGTCATCGATGCGCAGACCGATAGCCTCACCAAATCCTTGTGCTATAATCTGACGACCGAGCGCTTTCTCGGCCTCTGGGGCTTGACCAACAATGGTCTTTTTGTTCAAGGTGTTGCCAAATGGCAACTCGCCTCTGTCGGTCCAGTAAAGGACACCTGTGGGCTCGTCGAACTCGAGATCAATGGGTTCGGGCAGGTCGCCAAGGACCAATTCAACGTCTTCTCTGGTTTCTGCGGTGGCGCCTGACGGCATTTCGATGTTCGCGGAGAAGATACGGCCTTGAGATCCCTTGGGGAAGCCCTTTTGTGTCCAGAAGAACTTGCCAAGTTTGGGGGCGACAGTGACACCAACACACCAGTTGGTTTGGTCCTTGACCTTGTCCTTTTCGGTCTGCCAGTCTCCGGTTTGGATCAGAATCTCGTGGTCCGAGCCATCAAGGTTGGAACGATGGACGCGCAAGCCTTCGCGGTCACAGAAGTAGAGCTTTTTGTTTGCCTTATCAACGTGAAGCTGCTTGGGGGTGTGGACGTCGCCTGGTTTGACGATGGTCTTGATATCGCTACCGTCGAGCTTGGCGGAGTAGACGGCACCGTCGTTCTTCGGGGCCATGCCCATGCAAGTCCAGTACATTCTGTCGCCGTACACATCAATACCGTCGGGGCAACCTTGGTCTGTGACCAAAGCGACGGGTCGCGCATTCTTGTTATCAACAGACAACTCCAAGACTTGGCCGCTGGTCAAGACTTTCTGGAGGGAAAGCTCACCAGGGTACGAGCCCTGGTACATGTTGAGAACCAACAGTTTCGAGCCTTGACCCTGTGTGGGCGGAGGATAGAGCCCACCCTTGTCGGATTTGTTGCCGAGCTTGCCCTTCTCAACGTAGTTCTCGTGAAGCCACTTGAGTGTTGTATCGGGCAAGTGACGATCGTGCACGTAGTGGGTCTCGATGTGTTCGACGGTATCCAAACCAACGCTGTCCATCATGGTGCATGGTCCTGAGGGACTCTGGTATTGTTCCATCCAGATCGCGTCGATGGTTTTGGGGTCCGAAACGCCCTCTGCAATGACTGCGAGAACTTCACGTTTGATAGCTGCCCAGATGCGATTAAAGATGAAACCGGTGGACTCCCTCTTTGCAGAGACTGGATGCAGACCAGCCTTGCTTAGCTCATCCTCCAGGAATGGGAAAATGGCTTCGGCTGTCGAGCCACTGGTCATGAGTTCGACAATCAGAGCCTATGGTATTGATCAGCAAGGTATCTGGATGGAGGGTAGAGAGAGCCGTACTTGAGGAGGCATCATGTAATGCGTATTCAGAACTCGAGTCTTGGTGGCATCGGTGACCTTGCCAAGAAGCTCACTGCTCTTATATGAAGAGCTGTTGCTGGCAAGAATACAGTCTTTTGGGGCATGCTTCTCAAGGTCAAGGAAGGTGTTCTCCTTGAGACCAAGAATCTCGGGGACAGCTTCGAAAACGAGCCACGAGTCTCTCACGGCGGCCTGGAAATCCTCGATGGCCTCATATGATCCTGCGGTACTTTTGGTGAGAGCGAGATAGGTAGCAATGTTTTGCTTGATATAGTCGACAGCATCGTTGCGGGACTTTTCTGAGGGATCGCGAACGATGACATGGAAGCCTCCAGCGACCCAGCATGCAGCAATTCTGCGGCCGAGGACACCACCTCCCAGTACCACGACCGGGCGCGATTTGTAGTCTTTCGGAATCTCCCAAGTCATTTTTTGTGTAGCGAAAGTCGTGATTGATTAAAATGTGGGCGTAGCTAAGATCGATAAGCGGTAAACAACGGACGGAGTGGGATGGTATCAATTTTGTACGACCAAGAGCTTTGGACCGGTATGACGCTGATTGTCTCGTGGAAACCGATTCAGCATATCTGATCCGAGTCGGTGCGAGAGGGTCGCCGACATCCCGGACAGCAATGCACACGCTTTTTGCTGTATCGCTTCGAGAAACACAAAAATGCATCTTCTGGAAACGGCCTTGGTGATCTTGGAGGTCATGCTATCGGCGACGGAAAGAAGCGGACTTGGTCATGACGCTCGCCAGACGGTCCCCTCAAGGCTTGTCCAGCTGAACGGAAAGTCAGTTCCAACCTGCATGACGAGCCGCTGCAGACTGGAGTGATCCGTGAGGTGCGAACCAATGTCTGATCCCGCCGCGCGTGCCACAGACGCATCGGGCTCCCTGCATGAATCGCCGCTAGCGTACGATCGTTAAGTACTGAGAAGCTGTCCACCGGTTTCAGATAGCTTTCCCCGACTTGACAAGTTGCGAACGAAAACCTTAATCGAGCGCTTGGCCGCCGGGCCGTCTCTTGGTCTGGTGCGGGCCCGTCCGGACCGCTGCTTGTCCAGGACATTTCCGAGCCAGTTGATTCATCCCATCTGCACTCTCCAGGCTAAACGCACACTGGCATCTGCGTGCTAGGTAAGCTTTGCGCGCACACACCGTTGTTTGCTCGCGATAATCGAGGCAGTGCAATCCTCGTCAACGATACGCTGAGGCTCGGTTGAGACAAAGAGTTATGATCGAAAATGCTGCATCGTTTGAGATTAGATAGCCACAGGCATTGCGTACGAGCAATCTCGTTGTTGGTCGAGCACGCGCCTAGCAAAATTCCGGACACACATCTATAAACTCATACGCCCTTCAGATCTTGTTTTTTTTGGGCGTAGATACCTTATGACCTTCGTATTTATCATGAACATCTATACGTATAAGGGTATCACGATTCATCGCGTTATGTTAATGTTATTAAGAGGGAGAGAAAACGGCCGAGATTTGTGTGTGTCGGGAATCCTAACACCCCCGTGGTCGAGGTACAAGTCCCTGACGGTCGCGCTTCCACCGGTCAAACATCAGGATCCTTTTTATATCATCAAGAAACGACCGTCACCCATACCCTTCCTTCGTCTCTAGAGACTCCACTAATTCGGCTTCTCACAACATGAATGAGGAATTGATCTCGAAAGCTTCGATGATGGATGCGGAACTCGCAGAGGTGGGAAGCTTACAAATGGTGACAGCGCAGTGAATTAAGCTGACACGCATCATACAGTTCCTAAGCAAACATCCCGTGCCAAAAGCTGACTGGTCGAATCTCGACAAGTTCCGCACCGCGCGTGCAGGTTTGGCAGAGAAAAGACTCAAGGAACAGGGGTCCCCGGGACCTGGCTTCGAAGAGGAATTCAGGACAATTAGCATGAGAGATGGCTTCCAAAGCCGCATCAAAATCCACAAACCGGTCAATGGCGATGGCCCTCTGATCGTCTTGGTCTTTGGAGGCGGGTTCATTGTTGGAAACGATGAGCAACTTACTCCGCTCGGACGTGCTACTGCGAAAGCTTTCACGGCAACCACTATGACTGTCAGTTATCGCCTGGCTCCAGAACACAAGTTCCCGACCCCTGCTCACGACGTCGAAGACAGTCTCTTGTGGATTGCGAGCAATGCTGAGAAGTTAGGTGCTGATCCAACCAAAGGATTTGTGCTAGGTGGCATCAGTGCGGGAGGTATGGGGTGGAATATTGCTCTGCAGCGAGCGAGGTGTGGCACGAGACTGACCATTTGTCCCAGGCAACCTTGCAGCGTGTGTCGCACAAAAAACCCTGGACGACAAGAGTCTGTCACACCCATTGACTGGTCTCTGGCTGTGTGTGCCGTGGATTTTTCCCCTTGACAAGGATCTTGTACCCGAGCGATACAAGAACATCTACAACAGCCGTGAGCAAGCCAACAACGTGCCTGTCTTGGACAAGGATGCTCTCGTTGCGATCAATAGTCACGTGTCTCCAGACGCCTCCTCTCCACTCCATTCTCCCTTCAACAGCAAGACCCCTCACAAAGGTTTGCCTCCCACTTACATCCAAGTGTGCGGTCTGGATCCTTTGCGCGATGATGGCTTGGTCTATGAGAGAGTGTTGCACGACCATGGTGTCGTGACGAGGCTGGATGTTTGGCCAGGAGTGCCTCATGCACATTTCGCCTTCTTCCCCTTCCTTGCTATTAGCAAACAGGCCGTCACTGATATCATCATGGGCTTCAACTGGTTGCTCGGAACGGACATGTCGGCTCAGACGATCCATGGATTGCTGGCTCCTGGACAAATCGGTGCTTAGGGTTCGCAGCGCAGTCCCAGAGGACACCGCTACGATGTGCACCCTGCATGAAGACAAATATTGCATCTGCACCAGTCTGGGAGCTCAGAGTTCCCTGCGTCAGAGCGAGAGTGTTTGGTATTGGGGCTTGAACGTCCGCAGATTCTCGGGATGATGATCATTCTTCGGAGCTTTCGAAACACGTTGAGTCCACAGTCAGCGGAGACGATTGTTATGATTGCTGTCCATTTTGCACACTATAAATTCATACTACATCACACATCATTCTCCTGGAGGGGCTCGAGCTCTTTCGATGGTGCTAACACCTTGGGACCCTCGATCAACTTGATCTTCCTTCCTTCCCACCAAGCGAGCACACCTGCACCCAGACTGACACCACACCCGAGTCCGATGAATGTGCCTGTTCCCCACCCTGGACGGTCTATGCGGTTCCAGTGCCACATGAAGAAAGCCATGCCGACCTGGAAGAAAGTGTTGAACGCCGTCAGCCACACCATGAGATCGAGTTTCCAGGACTTGGTCGGAGGAGCGTGGTTGCCTGTGAATGTGATTCTTGCATCTTCGAGATGTTCTTCGCCGTGTCTGCCGCCCATTCTGAACCAGTCGTTGTTACGCTTGGCCAGCTTTTTCAGCGCACCGTGACCGTGCTCTGGGCCTGTGCCTAGCCTCCAACAGGCTACCCAGTAGAGGTCTCTGAAGCGCCAAGGAGCCAGTCCGAATGCTGTCAGACAGAACAGAGCATTGAGGATCTGAGAGTCGATCTCGAGCCAGATTTTGCGTGGTGACGAGTCGGCATCGCCGTTGTCTGGGTGATTCATGGCGGGAGCTGCGTGGAGCAGCAGGAAGAAGAGCATTGCACCCCAGGCTACGACATTCAAGCCGTAGACGGTGATTAAGAAGCCCGTCGGCGTCAAGATGAACTTGGCGGCGGCAGCAAATCCATGCTTGATTGCGACAGTCCATGGCACTTTTGCTTTGGGCGGGACAGTTGCGTGTTGCTGAGTATTCGAAGACATGGAACCATCACCCGCCGCTTTCGATACCGAGGGCGAAATGGTGCTTTTGCTCTGAATGCGTTGCATGCGTTCTGCAAACTCTTCTTTGCCCTCGTCGAGCTCCGGGACACGGGCACTGTGACCATCCTTGTCAAAGACAATCTTCTCGCCGCCGGTTTCTGGTGTGCGCAAGTCGGTGAGGTTGGGTGCATGGGCAATGGCAGTGCCAGTCGCTCGCCACATGCCCAGTTGGGGGTTCGAGTTGAGTAGCTGATCCGCGACGCTCACGGAAGCATTGCGGAGGCGACCGATTGCGCCGCGTGGCGCGCTGTCGTCGGGTCCAGCAGAATTCATAGTCGTCGTTGGTGTGTAGCAGCTGTCGCACTGCAGTCAAGTTGTGAGATGAAGAAAAAGAAGAGCAGAACCGCTAGGTGTACAAGCAATTGATGCGCGGGGCCTACCCCAAAACACGATCCATCACGGTGGTCGCAGTTTTTTCAGTCCGGTCGTTGAAGCCAATAGTGAGAGCCTTTAGCCAGACAAGCTGCACTAGACCACCAACGGAACGATCGATGAGATCGACGAAACGTTCGTACCTTTTGGACGCTGGGCACGGTTGAAATGCGATTGGTCCCGTATTTGGGTAGCTCTGCGCTTCTTCTTGGACTGTAGTGGCAAGTTGGACGACATGATTGACTTTGATAATAAGCCTGTTTCCATCACATGTCTCCCACGATAGGCGCTCGTACAATGGTAATCTATCTATGCTTTATTTGTGGGTGGTCGTCTGAGGTAATTAGCCTCGCCCCTATGCTCGGCCAGAATTATACTTTTCGTTCAGGCATTAGAGTTTCTGGGGTCCAGCGATCGGCAGCCAGGACCGACAGCCCACGGTGTAGTTCTCCAATAGGCTTAGATGCCCCGTTTTGGCCGTCGGTCGAACTGTAGGCTCGATGCTGTTTCCTCTACAGGCGTTGCGATATCAACAACGATAGCTGTTCAATATAATACAACGGCAGATTGATCCTCCTTACAGACCTGTTGCGCCGCCAGTGTACTGTCCAGCAAGCTCAAGTTCGCCCAAGAGACAAAGGCGGCGAGAGTCGAACCATCGGCTTGGTGCTCTTGTTGCTGATGCTTTGCGTTGCTGTCGATCAACCGCACTAGTGGTCACAAAAAGAGTGCCCGCCTTTTTAAGAACAACATTCCCCGTCGCACGATGAATTGTATCTCTGTTTGCACCTTTCTTCCGACATCATGTCTCCAACTTCATTCTCGCGACGCAAGCACAAGATTCCCATCGACTCCATCGACAAGGACGCAGCTCTCCCTACAGACGATGGCAGATTCAATGTCTCGATCAGCGCGACGGCGATAGCCAAGCTACAGAGCCATCTCTCTTCTCACGACGGCAAGAAAGAATCCTCTGAGAACACACCACACGACACGACGCATACCGAAAAGACCAAGTTCGCGAAGCTGAACTGGCGCCACCGTCGGGATGACTTCAAACCCGTGACCGACGATTTCAGCGGCTCGCCACGAATGAACATAGCCATCTTGATCGTAGGAAGCAGAGGCGATGTCCAGCCTTTCATCGCCCTGGGGAAAGAGCTCATCGCCCCACCATACAACCACCGCGTTCGCATCTGTACACACCCGAATTTCAAGACCTTTGTGGAAGAGAATGGCCTCGAGTTCTTCTCCATCGGTGGCGATCCGGAAAAGCTCATGTCATATATGGTGCGCAATCCGGGCGTGCTGCCAACCAGAGCATCTGTCAAAGCTGGCGATGTGGGCGCACGACGCGCCGAAATTGCCGAGATGTTGGATGGTTGCTGGAGAGGCTGCACAGAGGCCGGCAACGGCGTCGACTCCATCCAGCTGCCAGCCGCCAAATCGCTAAACCTGGACACGATAACATCACTGCCGGACCCCTTCATAGCCGATGCCATCATCAGCAACCCGCCAGCGTATGCAAACATCCATATTGCGGAAAGACTTTCCGTGCCGCTACACATGATGTTCACAATGCCCTGGAGTCCGACGACGGCATTTCCCCACCCGCTCACAAATGTAAAGGCGGGCGCGAACAACAGGAAAATGGCCAACTACCTATCCTACTACAGCATGGAACTACTGACGTCCGAAGGTCTGATCGACCTCGTAAACGACTTCAGAGAGAATACCCTAGCTATCGATCCTCTTCATGCAGCATGGGGTCACCAGCTGCTTCCACAGCTCAAAGTACCTTTTACTTACTGCTGGTCACCAGCTTTGATACCGAAGCCTAGCGATTGGGGCAGCCACATTACCATCAGTGGCTTCTTTTTCCTGGCGACAAAATCATCTTTCCAACCTGACGAGGCGTTATCCAGATTCCTAGCAGCTGGGCCACCGCCTGTGTACATAGGCTTCGGGTCAATCGTGGTAGACGATCCGGACAAAATGACAAACATGATTCTAGAAGCCGTAAGGATATCCGGAGGTAAGATGAACTGACGCTCGACAAGCCATGGTAGTGGTTGACTGACACCTTGAATAGTGCGCGCTCTCGTTTCGAAAGGTTGGGGTAACCTCGGCGGTAAAGACGTTCCCGACAACGTTTTCCTGCTTGGTAACGTACCACACGACTGGCTTTTCCCACACTGTGCTGCCGTCGTTCATCACGGCGGTGCCGGAACGATGGCCATTGGTATAGCACTGGGAAAGCCGACAGTAGTAGTCCCGTTCTTTGGCGATCAACCCTTCTGGGGAGAGATGGTCGCTCGTGCTGGTGCCGGCCCCTCGCCAATAAGATACAAAGATTTGACGGCAGAGAATCTCGCAGGGCAGATCACTCAAGCGCTGGAACCCCAAGTTCAGGACAGAGCAAAGGAGCTCAGTGATCGCATCCGAAGCGAGACAGGCGCCAAAACAGCCGCCCAGATGTTCCACTCCACGGAACAAATGCAGAACCTCGGTTGCTTCCTGATGCCGGACAGAGTCGCCGTCTGGCGGGTGCGCCGCACTAATATTCAGCTCAGCGCCCTTGCAGCCAGTATTCTTGTCGCTCACGGCAACATTGACAGACGACGCCTCAAACCCCTTCGGAAACATCGCTGGTATGTCGAGCAAGGAGCCCAAGATCCACTCATCGGCGCTTTGGCCACGATGGGTTCAACCGCCATAGGCTACAAGACTTGCGCGACAAAATTAAGCAGAGATATGGGGCGATCTTCGTCAATGGAAGCCGCCAAGAACAAAGTTCTGATGGACGGCAAAACCGCTTCTGATCGCCCGAAGAACAAGGTCAAGAGCATCGGAGAGTTTGGTGTCGGAGTGGGTGGCAGGACTTTACAATTCCCGGTCGATTTGCTCTACAACATCACCAACGGTTTCCACAACGCGCCTGCACATTTCATGGGCGACCGCACTGTGCGCATGAGGAACGAGATCACCGGCGTCAAATCAGGGCTGAAAGCTGGAGTGGAAGAAGTCTGCTTTGGTTTCTACGACGCTGTGACTGGTATTGTGACACAGCCAGTCCATGGTTTCGAAGAGGGCGGCCCCGTTGGGCTCGCCAAAGGCGTAGGCCGCGGTGTTGGAGGACTTGTCTGCAAGAGCGTGGCCGGGACGCTAGGACTCCCGAGCTACGGTCTGAAGGGCCTGACCAAATCGATCCGCAGAGGATGGAGAGACAGCGACGCGGTGCCAGATGAAGAGGCCATCGCTTTCATGAGGCAGCTGGGACATCGTGAGAGTGTTGGCGGTCAAACAGTGCTCCCGGGCCATACGCAAGCTGTCGTTTTGTCGTACGTGGGCAAAGCGACTGGAAATGGGGTCATGCGCATGGTGATGAGGCGACGAGGATGGCAGAATTATATAGAGCTGCTGCAGCTTCGGCAGAACCCCGAAAAGGCAGCAGCATTGGAGCACGATGTTCTGACCAAGTGGAAGAGCTTTGATGTGTCGACCGAATAAGGTAGCAGCAGTTATATACCCAATTGATTGTTTTGTGAATTTGTCTCATCGGCCAAACATGGTCTGGAGTCTGGTAGATGACCCTGATGGTCTATTGAGATGACGAATCATGCAAGGTCTGGCCTTGCGACGCCCGAGAAGACATTGACCGTCGTGTCGTGTGTATAACGCCGTGCTCGAACGAGGAGTGCGGGTCGTACCCTGGTGACGACGAAAGATAACTCTGGGCCATCAACAGTGGACCTCGCATGACGCTCGAGGTATGCACATTGCCAGCTACGAATCCAGATCCCATCTCGATTGACGCAGCCTGAATAGCCATTGCTCTCTGGTGCAGCCCTATGGCGTGTCGTGTTCCCGGGAAGACCAAAGCATGAGCCATTTTCACCATCGCACAACTTGCCAAGAACGGAGTGAAGAACCGCTTGTGTTGAGGGTCGTTGATCTGCTCGGGCAGAGTCGGAATCCATGGTAACCAGGAGCGCACAGGAAATAGCGCTTTCAGTTGGGCGGGCTCTGCTAGCAAAGCGGTCTGCAGAGGAAGTAGGTTCTGGAGGTAGTTCCGGAGCTCTCGTGCTGGACCGAGCATCATGGGTTCCTCTTTGACAAGCTTTGTGAGATTGTTGAGTGATTGCATGGCGCTCTCCAGTAGTTCAGACTGCTTCTCACGCCACTTCGTGATCTGTTGATGACCTGCTACTGGGAGGAAAAGTTGGACCAGGTCGGATTGATCAGCATTCGCATCCTCAGAATCCAATACCTATCATGACGTGAGCATTGTCTCCAAGGTGTGCCGTCGTGTTACTTACTAAGAAGATACCCTGCATGCACCGAAAGAACTCATCCCTTTGCATCTTGTCAGGACTGCTACGGTCTTTCATTCCTCTGTTTGTGACTCACGAATCATGAGCATCCCACGAAAGCATCGCACAAGCACTGAGCACAGCACCATAGTTGATCGCATTCCCAGGCGCAAGATGTTGACGTAGCCCAACCAGCACCTTGTCGCGGTAATGATACCGCTCACATAACAGCTGGTTTGATTTTGTGTACTCATACAGATGTTGAACGGCCATACCGCAAAGACAGTCGTGTAAGAACGGTGCCTCTTTGGCGTGACCTATGGCCCTGTACAGCTTGATCAGACTATCTGCGTGGAACATGGGCGCAAGTCTTACCTGATGCAGAGCCTGATACCTAGATTGGGATCTTGTGAGTGCTCCAATTCGTGGCTGGCGCTCAGAAGGTGGTGCATCAGAAAATGTTCTCGACGTGATATGCTGAGAGCGCCGTCATTCACAGAGGTCAAAGGGCTCGGTATGGTCCAGGATCCACCCAGGGGAACCACTGAAGAGTTGGCCTGCTGTGCTGGCTTGGAGAAGTCTGGTGACGTCGGATATGTACACTGGGTGTCATGATTGCGACCGTACTTGACGCAATTTTGGCTGTGCTTGGAATCAGCGGGTGCAAATGGCAGCAATCGTAGCTAGTCGCGCACCATCTCGGTCGGGTTTCGTCGCAGCGCACCCTACGATTGCGACAAGTGTCGCAGCCTGTGTTTCTTTTGACGTGCTTTCGCTTTGCCCCTCGACTTGCCAAGTTCTCCATGGAGGCATCAAACTTCGCAGTAGGTCGGTGTGCAAGATGTAATGCCCACAGTCTAGGGTCCTCGAAGGAATCGCGTTCAACGATGGAGTTCGAGATTGCATCGGGGCAAGATGACGATGTTAGACCCTCAGGAAGTTCGTGCGGGGCAGATCCTTCGCCAAGGCTCCTACTCCTAAGGGATTGAGGCTGATCTAGGAACAAGGTGCACATATACAGTATGTTTGCGCATCTGATGAATAGCGCGCTCATCAGTGCGTCTACGAGTAGATAGCAAAAAATTGCAGCGAAACGACGGTGTAACCTAGCTCGAGACCAGCAGTCTGCAAGCCTCACGATACGTTCGGCCGCGTCCGCATCCTGTAAGAAGCAGAAGGCGACGGAGGTCGGCGACTCGTGCTCCGAAATGAGGGGAAGCGTCGAATTGTGAAGGCACTCTGACTTCTCAAGGATTGCATAATCTGCGGCGGATTAAGGACAATTTTACGAGAACGGCTGGCCTGGTCAATATACAGCTCTCTTGACCGCGGTCGCACGTTTCAGACCAGTAAGCATTCTGGTAGATGTCTTGTTAAACCTCGCTAAGATGATCATCTTACTGGAAGTCAAGGTCGTTGGCATTAGTGGTCTGCTGAGTGCATATGGCTGTCTGATCAGGGATCCCTCTCGTGTTTCATGAATTGAGTGCTCTCACGCCAAGTTCTGGAAAGCTGACCAGATTTCCCTCACCAAGTCCTGGCGCACCAGCGTAACGGTCAATCGAACACGGGAAGGCCAAACTTCCAGGAATCTGATCTGCTTGTTTGGAAGATTTCACTTACTGTACGGTACGATCGCTTGCTCTCCACAACGGCCAGACATTGGCTTCGTCGTTCACGACTACGCTAATTTGTCTCGATTAGCTCGCATCCCGTACAACTACAAGCCCAACGTGCCGCTAATATCCTGCAGACGATGTCGCCCCACTGATCTGTCACATTGGCACTGGGTGATCAGCGAACTCATGCTAAGCCGATGCAAACATTTTGTCGGAGCTATAAGTGCGAGACTTGCCTTCCCTATTGCCAGTTCCCGTTCGCCATATCTTCGAATTCGAATACCACAAATCACCACTCGATTCAAGGTAGTCACTAAGCCCCACCCAACATGTCCTCCAAGAAAATCATCGCTCTCGACAATGGGTTGGGCAAGCCACTCGGCACACTCAGCTTTGCGGGAATTGTCACACGTCCCGAAATTCTGTCCATCGATACGAAGAAGGGCTCCTCTGCCCAACCACTTACTCTGGACCTCGCCGGTACTCCCAAGGGCGACCACCCATTGCTCTTGGTTGATGGAATCACGTGGAGTCCCAAGACACAACGCATATACTGGACCAATATGGGCATTCCCACATCTAACGATGGCTCAATCTATTCTAGCCGGCTTGATGGATCAGATGTTCAAGCCGTCGTCCCAGCTGGGGGTGTTCACACTCCGAAGCAGCTCACGATCGATAACGAAGCCTCAAGACTATACTTTTCTGATCGCGAAGGACTCAGAGTCATGAGCTGCGCACTTGATGGATCGGACATCCAGGTCCTCATCACTACTGGTGACTGGCGCGATGAGGCCCAGACGACTGACCAAACCAAATGGTGTGTGGGCATCACTGTTTCTCACGAGAATGGTTTGTTCTATTGGACCCAGAAAGGACCATCCAAAGCCGGCCGAGGCAGGATCTTCTGCGCTCCTATTGAATCATCTGGCCCTCGTACACCCATCTTGCTGCTAGACCGTCTGCCCGAACCCATTGACCTTGAAGTCCACGGAGACCACCTTTACTGGACCGATCGCGGCGAGCTTCCGTTTGGAAACACTTTGAACAGAGCAAACCTCAATTCATCAGGAACAGAAGTCCTTCAGGCTGAGAATACGCCTGCTGGTCTCAAATACCAGGTCTTGGCACAAAACTTCGATGAGGCCATTGGTCTCAGCTTAGTCCCCGAGCTGAAGAAGATCTATGTCTCTGATCTTGGTGGTTCCATCTGGAGTTATGACATGGACACGTCTGTGAAGGAGCTCCACTTCCAGGACAAAGATCGTGGTTTCACTGGTATTGTTGTCATCTAGAGTGTCGTAACTCAAGTTCACGTTAGCATCTATAGAAGGTCATCATCACGCCTATCCCTTTCAGTCCCATTTAATGTCGGTCGAGGTGATACAAGGGGCCGTTCTTTCCTCTCGAATCCATACTGTCATTGATGGTGAGAGGCGCATCTCGCCGTCGATCTTCAGTTCGTCTCCACAGAATATCACAGATTGGTTCTCATTGAAGAACAGCATGTTGACTTTAGATCGTTGGGCCGGCAAATAACGGTAGGTCATCAAGTTGCTTATTCGAGCGACCTCGTGCAATTGTCCGACGCACGCATCGACGAGGGACATCTCCACTATCAGACAAATTGCGTACGCAGGAACCCACAGGGGAGCTGATGGAATCTCAATTCCATAAGTGCTGATTCTGGGGGATTGACCAAATCAATGAGATGCGAGCTTACTGTCACGCTTGGCTTCAAGCGCCTTGACGTCTTTGCCTTGAAGCTCTTTGCCAACGCTTGTACTAAGAGCATCAAGATCATCCTTATCATAGGTGAAGGCGTGCTGCTTCATGTCTTCCAACCAAACCTTACTTGCAGGACCCAAGTGCTCCAGTAGATGTCTGAAGCCATCGGTACCGCCTCCACCTCCCATCGCGGTCGACATCAATGGACCCGTGAGCGCCCATCGGGGACCAAGACTGCTAGTCATGCAAAGATCTTTGTACAGTCTGTGCAAAGTATTTGAACGGTCATATACGACTCACCGAGATCCTTCGCAGACATAATTCCTCTGCTAACCAGAGAGTAAGCCTCAGTACACAAGACAGCCTGCAGACGGTTCGCGGCGAAGCCTAGGATTTCCTGATTAATCACTACGGCATTCTTGCCGAGAGATTTGTAGAATGCGACAGCTGCGTCAACATTTTCCTTTGCGGCTTGAGGGTTGGGCACCACCTCGACCAGAGGCATAAGGTGAGGTGGGTTGAAAGGATGGCCAATTAACACTCTGCCGGGATTCTGCCTGCACTCTCCAATGAATTTGGAACTGGGCAATCCTGAAGACGACGAGGCGATGATCACTTCAGGTCGGGTGCCGGTATTAATCTCAGCTATCAACTTGGTCTTGAGATCGACCCTCTCGGTCGCATTCTATGAGAATGTCAGAGAGTGAAACAATTGTGCTAGAGGCCATGCAGCAATACTTCTTGGACGAGATCAAGCTCGGCGTAGTGATCCTTAAGGCTGGCTCCCACAGATATGTAATTGTCGAGAGAGGCGTTGGATGCTAAACCAAGCTTTTTGAGATCAGGCTACACGGTTTGCAAGTACTGATGCAGCTTCTACTTAGCATCAGGTCCCGGATTGGATACAAGGACTTGCAAACCATGTGCAAGAAAGAGGGCGGTCCACGAAGCGCCAATGACGCCGGTACCGACGATGCCGACCGTCTTGATAGCAGACATAATCGAGGCTAATTGTAGAGATAGAGGTTGCGAATAGCTGGGAGGTTTCAAATGGCGAAGAGATCACCACTCGAGAGTTGTTTGTTTATAAGTATCCTGAACGTCTTCGCGCGTCGAGTAATCACGAAGCTAGTGCCCGGCCAGCACAACAAAAGCAATGAACGATACCTCTATGTCACAATCACGCGCCAAACGACCATTGTCGCCGATGAAACTGATCTCTCCTTGAGCTTGCGTAGCTTTCGGACTATACAACTGCCCTGCATATAGCGTAGCCTCTGACGCTTGTCTCACGCCCGATGCAATGTCTGTCACTCTTTAATGTTTTCATTCCGACGTCCGCCAGTCGGGCTCTCAGTCGACATAGTCCCCGTACTCGCCCGCCACTTGGCAAGAGTCCGCCAGCCAAGCCTCGAATGAACACGATTCGATCGTGATCAAGGGTCGTGTATGGACTTTGGCGGTTGAAGCGTACTCGAATGTTCAAACTGATCGAAGTCTGTGGTACCATATGTTATTCGACGGACCATGAGCTTCCCGGTGCACTTGCCAGCCTATAGTCTGTAACAAACGCCTGCCTTTGCTCGATATCTTACGAGCGTATCAGGTCCTTGCAAGCTTTGGCAAATTGAAGCGAGGGTCGATCTTTACCGTACACCCCAAGCTATGGACGACGATGTGGGATGAGTGTTGCCATGATTGACAACCATGGGCCATGGCGAATCAGTCGTTCCTTTCCCAATACGATACACGATCTCTTAGACGAAGCCCTTTGTTTACAGTCCTGGCATTTTTGCCAATGTCGGATTCAACCTATCGCTAATAGTTGCCGCCCGGCTCTTGCGTTATGTCGTAAAGCTTATCCCAGCCTTCACTAACGACGAGGATGTTAAACTGTCCCACAATGTTCAGGGTTTGAGTTCTACCTTGATGGCTGACAAGAAGCCTTACGCTCTTGACCTCAAGAAGGGCAGACGACAAAGCCGAGCTCTTTGATTTGCTCGAGGCTGCAGATGTTGTAGTCACTCAAATGTAAGGGCTTCGGTCTCGATGTTGTCCTTGCCGAATTGATGAAGCGTAACGAGGGGATCACATAAGCCGACCTTAACTACTAAACTGATGGCTACGTTGCCGACTCGATGGGGTATTAAGCACAGTTTTCTTGGCCCCATCAAGAAGTATGAGGAGAGCACTGTAAGCCCCTATCGGACACACAGACCAGTACCATACCTCATCACTGCCGGGCCACAAACATGGTCTTCATAGGGCACGCTGTATGACTTGATATTCCGGTTAAATGTGTCATGATGCGTATATCAGTACCTGTAGACATGATAATACATTGGTCAGAAGCTGTCATTCATGTGTTGCACGTAAATCACAAACGTCTCACATCAATAGCACTATGATTGCAAAGTGACATGTTTTTTGATCCCAATTCGTCGTCATTTTTCTCCCTGTTCATGCTCAGAATCCCAAGAGTGGCGTCGATTGCAAAGACCACAGGATCTTTCGACAATCCTGGGGCTCAGAGAGTAATGTGCGTCATTCCCAGAAGTCATCTCCGAGGTGCGAAACGTGTGGTTGGTAGCTCTGAGTGTCTATTACACTCAACCCCTGAAGCCTTTGGTTTATTATCAAGGTGAGAAGCTCCCTTGGCGACCAATGGGACAGAAAGCGACGACCACGTTTCACCATCACTAGTCCAAACGTATCCTGATTCAAGAAGGTAGAAGGATGATACTCCGTCGCACTAGATCGTCCGACCCGCACCGTAAATCCAATTCTTATCATCGAACGGTGGTTTACACTAGTCGTACGTTGCACTACCTTCCAGATCGAAACTGTCTCACGTTCACATGTCGAACTACCTTCTCGTGGTTGCGTGACCCTAGTGTGAATCGTTGTTGGGAGGTTTGTAGACCAGGATTTAGCCCCACTCTGAAGACATGAACGAAGGATTCACCCGGTCTTGGACAACTACGATAGATAGCGTCGCGGCTAGGGTAAAGTATCTCAGTGTCCTTCTGTGGCTCAGTCTCTTGGTCACGACCGGGCGTTGACGAGATATTGTGTGGAACGTCATATCTGCTGTAGAAGCTACAGAGGCTCTACAGCTACTTAGCAGCACGTCAATATTAGTACCAACACATTTAGACGGCTATACCACTGATTCTTGAGCTTCAAGTGCACTTCATGGGTGATTCTGTCAGGTTTGGCGAAAGTCGACCTGAAGCCTTCCAAACTACTATAGTGAACCTTCTGATCGAGAAACTGCGCCACTTGAGGAGGACACTCTTCTCTAGCCTGGGAAATGCCCTCAGTGTCGACACGGTTCGTCCTCAGGGAGTCTTGCATACATCGCTGAAATTTACGGTAGTCAAGCTTCAACTATATGGCAAGGACGCCATGCGCTGATGGTACTAGGACCAATCCTCAGACTAGAACTGGGCCAAAAGTGAATTCTCGTTGCGTCTCTGGCGAATTGGCCAAGGAATTCCTCGATGAGAAGAAATTCGAGAAAGCGAACTCTGGCGCATTGAAGTGATTCACAACGGCGTTACAGATGGCCTTTTGGCAGCTCTCCTTGATGAGCACAACTGGTCTACCGCTTGATGTAGCCTAATGCCAGCATCTGGACCTTTGGACATTGGTTCGATGTTTCAGATGACGGGCGTTGCATCACGGCTCGTCCTCAAGCAGGCTCGATCTGACCTAGGCAGCGGCGTAGATGCTACGAATAATACCACTCGACTCACTCTAGACCCCGTCGTACTTAAGTTCTCCAAGTACCGTCTGCGTTGTGTATGTGGTGAATCGCTGTTCCAGTCGTGCTATGAGAGACGAATTCAACTCCTTCTATCACGATGCTATGCATCCACTGGAGAGGCCATGGTCGGCTTTCTTTCCGGCTCTGGGGATCGTCCCAGACAGCCAGACTTTGCTTCCGAGATGCTCTACGGCAAAGCCACCCAGCAGTATCTTAGCGACATAGGATGAAAGATCCTGAAGGTTACAAAGGGACTGCTCACTGAGGGCCGAGAGCAAGATACGCTTATTGCCATGATTTATAGTATAGATAGTAAAACCGAAGAACGGGTCAGCAGACTAACCAAGGAAAACCATAGATAAGAATGTCTTCTTCTCGAGAGGCAGGCCGGTTTTCTAGTGCCCTCCTGCGCTTACAGAATCCTAGTCCGATCTGACAATCGATTGGTCCTTGATCAAAACCGTAGTGTTGAGAAACGCGTGGAAAGTCAGCAAGTCGGAGGGTTTCAAATTGACCTCGAGGGGTAAACTGTTCGCCTCTTGGTGCGTACGTACAAGTTGACGGGTCTAGATGAGCTTAGCAGATGATCGACTTTCAGGAGAGAAACGCGTGTCTATTCTTACCGGATGAGCTGGAAGAAAGGATCGTACTCGGTTTCCACGTTTCCGTCTGCGTGCCGTCAGATTAGTATGGTGCTCCTTTCTCCGCCCAACGAACAAGTCATACCTTTGATCCATTCATACCGCCAGACTAGCTGGGCGATGAAGATTTTGATCTCCTGGAGCGCAAAGTTGAAGCCGATGCACATGCGCTGTCCAGCGGCAAATCTGTTTGCAGGCGTAACGAGTCAGCATGTCAGAGGCTAATTCTTGTATTGCGACTTACGGAATATAGTCTGTTCTGCCGCGTTTCTTGACGGCCTCCGTGTCCCAGCGGTCAGGGTCAAAACGATCAGGGTTTTCCCAGACTTTGGGGTTGTTGTGGATGTGGTGGAGAGCCGCGATGATGATCTCTCCCTTGCGCATTCTGAGACCTCCGGGTAGAATCAGATCCTTCTGAGCTGTGCGGCCTGGTTGGTATGAGGGATTGTGCTTGCGTTGCATTTCCTGTGATGTCAAGTTTAGTCTAATGGTACTCCTTAGGGAAATGATCGATGTTTCACCTTGACGTATTTGTCGAGCTCATTGAGCTCTTCAATCAATTCTGGTGTGACATCTGCATCGTCCTTGAAGTCGTGATTCACCAACTCCTGGACCAAACGTTCTTGCATTCCAGGATACGTGACGAGTCCGAAGATGAGCCATGACAGCAAGGATGAGGTAGTAGTGAATCCAGCACCAGCAGCGACCGTCAGAGCAGCGCTCATGTTCTCTGTTGGAAGGCGATTGCCGGAATTGTCGACCGCACGAGTGAAATAGTCTGCAGCGAGATGTCAGTGGTTACCCTCGATTTCAGACGTAGCAAGACATATGGAGCTGCATCATACCAACGAGGTTCGCGGCCTTCAAGGCGGCATCTTGAAGAGGGAGGTCTTCGGTTCCGTTGCCCTTGGACTCTTGTATCACCTTGTTGATCTCACCAGTCATGAACGCTTGCAGATCTCTCAGACGCTTGGGATCGCCAAACGGCAGATGGGAATACCATTCGCCCATCGAGGTGATCTTTTTGTTCAGAGCTAGAGAATGAGCGATGGCAAGTGGCATTTTGTGCAGAGGTGCATCCACACTAGTGAAGTGCTCAAAGTCGATTCCCAGAACAATTTTGCCGACAGTAGCGGAACTAAGCTTGAGCATGTACTGGTAGACATTCCAAGCTGAGTCGGCTGACTCGAGCTCGTCAAACACTGGTAGCGATACGCGCAATTCGTCGTTCATGGTCTGACATTACATAGATCACCAGTCAGTCTGCCGTCATTTCGTTCGAGGGACCAAAAGTTACCTTTGAATAATGGCGGACAGCCTTGGGACCGAGGGCTGGGGGCATGTATTTGTGCACAACTTTCCAGTTTGGACTTGTCGAGTCACCAAGAAACACTCCTGCCATATCATTCTTGATCGGATACAGAGGATGCATCTTGTTGATCTCTTTTGAGAAGTACTCGGACTCTGACAGCACGATCTGAGCAATCTTGGGATCGTTGGTCTGGTAGTTCGTTACACCCATGCTAGTGGACTTGAAAACAGGACCGTATCTTTCGAACAGGCGTTGATTGTTGCCGAGGTGATCGGGAAAGACTGGTTCCATGTTAGCATATACACCTAGGAAGACTGCGGCTGCTAATGACTGACTCTGGAGGTACGAGCCCAAGTATGGTAGTCCCTCAGGTCCAGGAGTCTCACGGACAGGTTGGCCCGAGATATTAACGCCGATGGGTTCATCGGTGGATCTGATGTCTTCGAGGGACTCAAGGCTACGAGTCTTGTCCTGGAAGCCCACCTCACCCGGAACAACAATGCTGAAATTGGTCGCGATGGCATCTTGGAGAGCACTGAACTCGGTGACCTGACTAATATCAAGGTCCAAGCCGTGTTTGGCTGTCTCGCCGGCAAGGTAGAAGGTCTTGACACCCATTCTCTGATGCAGAAGCGATTGGAGAGGGGGAACAAGAAGATGTGATTAACTAAGGCGAGAGTGTGCAACACGAAACTGATGTACTAGCTAGTCAAGATGCTGCGTCTTGATCGCGGTCGTTTTATATGACATGCAACATCGTCTCGCAGCCAATCGCATTTCCAAGCGATGATGTGTTCGATCCTCTAGTGGTCGGCGGTTCGGTGAAGAGTGCTCCGGTCCAGTCCAGTCCAGTCGGGTTGCGCGAATTGATAGCCAAAGCGACGTGGTACAAAGTGAATACATCTCTCGTTCCGATCGCTCCGATCGCTCCGAATGCGAGTTATGCTCCGCGCCACGATCATCTTGTTTGAGGCAATAAAGACGAGTCAACGGGCGATGCTAGATTGGTCAGGATGTAAAGAAACCGTCGAGATTGCTTTTGATGCAGCAACAGATACGCTAACTCAACATCGAAAAAACGAGAGTGCTTGGGAGGATTCTGAGGAACCTACTACGTCAACGGCCGGGGATGTCGGCGTTTCCTTGCAGCGCTGACCAAAGTCTAATTCTGCCGAGGCTGTAAGCACATATCATGGTCAATATCAAAAGCGCGCTCAGGGAATGCTTTTCTGTGCCATCACAGAGGTTCCTTGATAGTTTACCTGCAGCCAAAGTACGACACGCATCAGCAAAATGGCCGACACGAAGAAAGAACTCAAAGCCGGTTGGAAGACAGAGGCAGAGGTGCAAGTCCTGACTCTGAAAGACGTGGCCAAGCACAACACAAAGAAGGACCTGTGGATAGTAATCCATGGCAAAGGTATCCAATTCCGGTTCCTCTGAGGCCAATCATGAGCTTACATGACAACGCACAGTCTACAACATTACTGACTATGCTCGGGACCATCCCGGTGGTCCAGATGCGCTGTTCGAGGTCGGCGGTCAAGATGCAACGAGCGCCTACGAAGATGTAGGCCACTCCGAAGACGCGCGCGAGATCATGCATCAGTACTTGGTGGGATCCCTCGAAGGTGCCTCGAGCGCAGAGGCCGGCGGCAAGACCCCTTCCTCGGCATCGACTGTCCAGATAGTCAGGCGTGGTCCGGCGCAGGAGGTGGCGAAAGTTACTTCCGAACCCTCTTCTCTCAAGAAATACGCCGAGCTGGTCGTATTCGCCCTGGGTACAGCTGGTGCGGCGTGGGCAGCTGGTCGAACCGGTGCACTGCACAAGGCGGCCATCACCATCGAACGTCTGGGGACTCTCGACCGGGTCAAGAACATCAAACTTGGAAATGCTGGCTTCGCCCAAGGTTTCCTGCTCGCCGCAGGCACTTCTACGATCATCGCCATCGCCGGTATGCGTTATCTGCAAAAGCTCACAAAGATGGAAAAAGACCCCTTCCATCTCCCTGCCCATCGTGCAGCCTCGCACATGGTTGTTTCGTCGCACCACCCCGTCGGCGCTATTGCACCGGCCGAGTACCGCAAGTTCAAGTTGAGCAAGAAGATCGAACTATCAAACGGCATCTGGAAGTTCGTATTTGCATTGCCGACCTCGACGTCTGTGTTGGGTCTACCCATCGGCCAACACGTCGCCATTCGTGGCGAGGTAGATGACCACACCGTCACTCGTAGTTACACGCCCATCTCTAACAACCGTGACCTGGGTCGTCTGGAGCTCATGATAAGGCTCTATCCCGACGGTCAATTGAGCAAGTACCTCAGTGGTATTCAGGTCGGAGATCATGTGGAGATTCGAGGTCCCAAGGGTTCCATGCGCTACCGAAAGGGCATGAGCAAACGCCTCGGCATGGTCGGCGGAGGCACTGGCATCACACCTCTATACCAACTGATCCGAGCCATCTGCGAAGATAAGACCGATGACACCGAAGTCAGCTTGGTCTACGCCAATCGATCCGAGGCCGACATTATGATGCGCGAAAAGCTGGAGACTTTTGCCGCCCAATCGAATGGACAGTTCAAAGTCCACTTTATGCTTGATCATCCCTCGGACGAGTGGAGAGGTGGAAAAGGCTATGTCGACGCCAACGTCCTGAAGAAACATATGCCTCCTGTGGCTGATGACACAAAGATTCTGATTTGTGGCCCCCCACCCATGGTGAATGCAATCAAGAAAGGATTGACATCGCTTGGATTCCCCGAACCAGGTAACGTGAGCAAGATGACTGATCAGATCTTCATATTCTAGTTAGTCACAATATCCGTACAACTTTTGCTTTCTTGAGTTATGATATGCAGCTTTATTTAATTCCATACATCATTTTGGTACCCAGACCGTAATTCTGTTTTCTCCTCTAGCTCCTACGACATTCACCTCTCAGCTGGTCTCGACGGCTCTACGCTCACCTTGTTTGCTTTTCGCTCATCTCGCCGCGTCGTCTAGCCATTGTCCACGCTTGACCCCCCGACCTATCTATGCAAAGGATCACTCTTACATACACTGATATCGCCAGATCCTCTCTTCGTCGGGCTCTTACGGCCCAGAGTTTGGTCAACATTGACCGCGTAGCTACTGCCATAGCTCTTTGCACCAATGACATCTGCAATGGAACTACAGACTCAAATAGCTCTTATCTAGCTAGTGCGAGACAACTGTTACAGATGTTGCGGATATCCCAGCGTGAGGATTTGAAAGCTTTGTTCATGCATAGTCTGAACAGATGATTCTCCATCTTGTAGTGTTCCTGGCATGCGCAGTTCTGTTAGCCCTGAGTAGAAGCATCCAGTACTTGACCTGACCCAACGTCCGTCTAGAGTTCAGATCGACGACTTCTGTGATTACTCTTTGGGACTCGTGCCCCTAATACTGAGTTTTGGAAAGCTGTCAATCTCCTGTCGCGACAACATGAGTACAAGAAGACGGCCACCACAACAACATCGTTTCACCTAAGTCACAGATCCTCGCTCTCTCGTGTCCGCATGATCTGCTTGTACCAGAGGTTACAAGAGGAACAGATCGCGGGATCGAGTTGACGTGCTCACATGAGACACTTATAGGTGCGACGCTCCTTTGTCTAAACCAATGCTGCCCAGAGACCATCCAATAGTCAAATTTGCGATCAGGAAGATACCGTCCGTCAATCATATCGCGCAGGACTCAGCGGCAACGATATTTGTCCTCTGGTCACTTCTCAGCGCAGGGTGCGAGACTGACTCCTGGAAATGTCCTATGTGGACATAGCCCCTGAAGTCCACACCCTCTTTGAAACAAGAACTTCCAGGCACGAGCAAGACTCCAGTCTTCTTTCGTAGGACTTTGCACAAGCTCATGTCATCGATTGGTCAACCATCCTTGCTAATGAACTTGATAAATCCGGTAGTACCACCCTGAGGACGAGTCTATTGGCAAGCCCACGCGTGCTTTCCTACAAATTCACCCAGTAGATCGACAATCTCCTCATATCCGAGCGTGACGATCGACGGCGGTGCTTCTCCAATCGAGTGAAACAAAGGGCGGTACACTCCATCACTGCAAATCATAATATCATGCTCATGAGCGATGTCGACGAGACCCTGCAATATTTGGCTAGACTGGACCGCATCAGTGGGGTTCTGAGGGTGGCTGTCCGAGTGTCAGTAAGCTGGGGCTGACATAAGGATTAAAGCCACTCACTTGGTGATTATAAGTTTTGCGTTTGACTTAATCAACGACCGGAGCTCTACCAGATCAAGTCTCCATTTCTCATCTGGCTTCGAGCGCCAAAGGTCGACTTTGACTCCGGAGGATTCTGGAATCCCAAAGAGCTGCTGATAGGTAGGTACTGACAGGTGACGTAGTCACCAGGTCCGATGAGTGTGTACAAAGCAAGATAGTTTGCTTGAATTGCGCCATTCGTGGCCATGGCCTGGCTGGATCTGACGGAGTAGCATCGGAGCGACATCTCGCAATGCTCTCTCTCAGCGCGTCCGGGCCTCTGTTGGCTCCGTACACCTCTTTCAGCGAGCCTTAGCTTCGGCTTGGACACTAGACTAATTACTTGGGAGATCGATGGCGGGTTCACCATCTATGCCCGGCTCCTGGACGGAAGTCATCACGTTGATGCATTCATTGTATAATCACTTTACTATAGTTCTTATCTATCATATTGACCTATTTAGTCTTCAGATTTCAAGTGTTATTAAAGAATAAGATGTTACCTTTAATAGCACTAAAGATTACTTATCTTAAGCTAAGCTTTTACCTACTGAAAAAAGGGTCTAGGATCCGCTCCCCACATTCGAACTTGTGGTTACAGCACAAATACTAAGATTACGCTAGCTGCTTGTACGACCCTAGCTCCATAAACCGTTAATGACTTTTGGCCTTAAACATATCAATTAGACCTTCATCGCGCTGACGTTCAAGCGCAGCCATATCCTTGTCATGCATTTCCTCTCCCACACTCTTTTGTCAGTGCATCTAGGTCTGCTGGGGTCCATGTGGTTGTCCGGTCTCGCGTCCTCGTCTGCGCGCACACCTTCTAGAGCTGCCCGAACAGACTTGACGTACGCAGATAGCTCTTTCATGATCTGCTGCTGCACGTACATAGTACTTTGGCATTACGACTTGGGTTTAAACGAGTACAATGCAACAAACAGGCATGATCACAGTGACTCCCATTAGCAAGCGAACGTCGCGTACGGGTGTAGTTGGAAGCTTTTACAAGGTACAAGTCTGAGGTTTAGATGGGTACCATACTGCGCACCAAGAACTCGGTCCTGTTGATCTGTTACTGCGGTAACTTGATCTTAAGCACCTTCTCGGCATTCTTGTAGCAGAACATCTCTAGCTCTTCCTTGTCCATCATTCCACTTGCTTCAATCTCCTCAATGAACTTCAACCCTGTGTCATTGCCACTAAAAGGATAGTCGACCAAGTACAGTATGCGATCTTTAGCACACATCTTGAGCAGACAGCTGAATGGTGCCAGAGTAAACATTCCAGAAGTGGTGACCCAGAAGTTCTCCTTCCACACTTGCTCAAGCCCACGCTTGTTCTCCACTCTCCAGAATGAAGATGCAGAAATGATGCGATCGAGCTGAAAGGAGAGCATCTCCCCCATATGACCAATGATGATCTTGAGTTTTGGGAATGCATCAAAGAGACCAGAGGCCCAGAGACGAAGAACATACAGTCCGGTCTCGGAGTGCCAACCCCATGCTGTCGAGCTCATTATCTGCGCGGCTTTCTCGCCATAGTCGCCGCTATAATGTGGCATCCATTCGTCGGCTGCGAAGGTCGGATGGATGTAAATTGGCACGTCCAGTTCATCAGCCTTTGCAAAGACAGGTCGAAAAGATTCGCTGTCGTAGAAAGTGCCACCGCAATGATTATTGATGAGCGCGCCAACAAAGTTGTGCTCTTTGACGCATCTTTCGAGCTCTTCAGCTGCTGCGGCTGGAGAAGCCATGGACAGTAGAGCGAATGCCGCATACCGGGGTTGACCCTTGATGGCCTGTGCCAGTTCAGCGTTTTCTGCACGACACTGCTCTGCGGAAGCCTCGATTGGGCTGTGCGAGAGGATTTGCAGGGCGACCTGGCTGGCATCAAGGTCAGCGACACGATCTGCACCTAGGGAGCTGGGTGTATCGATCAAAGACGCAGGAAGCAATTTGTAAGGATCCTGCTGTCTCGAGTCGGCCATCCGCTTGCGAAGGGTCTTGGAGAGGTAGTGCTCCTCCAGTGTGATTGTTGGAGGAGCCATGACGATGAGATTCAGTGAGACCTTGGCTTCCAAGAGATAGCTACACAAAGTATATAACGGAGGATCGGGAGCAGAGAATGGGAGGACACGAGCCGAGACGGATTAATGGATGCAAGTCTGTCGCTACGGGAATTCAAGAGCGACCTGGGACAAACAAGAAGAAAAGGACAATCCAGCTTTTCCGAATCCTGCCAGGTTCTTGTAGCGTAGCACCAAAGCTTGGATGTCACATCATTAGTGTGAGCGTGCGGGTCAACTCTCTAATACCGAGGATATCGTCAAACACATGAGCGGACCTCCGGTAACTCGAAGACCGACACTCTCGGCCGTCCGAGGACCGACACATTTGGGCAACACCCGACAACCTGGTGAGAACATAGTCCTCCGTGGGCGTTCAGTTGCTAGTCCTTCTTGCGGTGGCCACGCGTGCGAACGGTTCTCGATGCACGTAACGATCGTTATGAAGAAACTCGGGATTTTAGGTCTCGGTGAATATGTACGTCGATACAATCTGGGAAGTCCGAGCGAGAGTTAAGACTGTTTGAAATGCTTTGCAAGTACATAATAGCCCAGCAGCTTTTTCAGGCTGCATGTCTCCAGATATGATACACGTAATGTAATATGCCTCACTGCATGTCAATGCCCCCATAGTCCTCATCCTTCCCATCTTCGGAGGTTGCGTCTAGCAGGATGTAGAGTATTCTTGCCCATTCAGTCGAGCTATTGTTCTTCCATGCATGATCTGTGGCGCGCTGCACACTGACGTCTCCACGCTTCATGACTCGGCGGGGTCCAGTCTCATGATCGCCTAGAATCAGGGTGATCTCGCCCTCGAGAACGACTCCATAGTCTAGGCTGTTGGTGCGGTGCATGGGTGATTCGACACCAGGAGCGTAATCGATCAGTCGAGCGACTGAGCCGTTGGGCAGTTTGATGGGGAATGGCGTGGACTGATTCTTGTGGTCCTTGATGTCTTTGTTGTCTTTGAGATCGACGGGGAATGTGTTTGTACTGTACAAGACATTGACTCCTGCACCAGCTATCCGCTTCAGTACGACCTCCTCGGGGCGGTCATCGAACACTGGCTTTCCATCTTCGTCGTTATGGGTAGTGATGTAGACGTGAGTGGTTGGTAACTCGTTCGTGGTTCCGTCGTGAAATCTCACCATCTTGTAATGCAAAACTTGTGGAGAAAGGTGGGCATTCCTCGCAGTGCGACTGACATCAGGTCTTATACTTGGACCATAAACAAGCAGGATGGACCTTTCACAAGCTGATGATTCGTCGTCATCGCCTCGGCTCATAGCATGACTTCGATCACGAAGCGTGGACATCTCGGCAGCCGATTCATGCTTTCATGAAGTTGCCACGAAGAGTCCGACGGTCGATTGACTCTTCGATGTATTAACCGTAAGGACTGATCCGCGACCCCGACATTACTCACGTTAGGCGCCGCCCGGATGTCGGACCGACGGCGTCATGCCTCGTACACGGACTCCATTCCTCCGACGAAGCCTCGCACCTCAAGTGGCTCCATGGAGACCTCCACGGACACTCCGACGGTCGAACTTGTCATCGGGCGCTCGGTGTCAAGCCCCGCACTCGTACTTCAACTCCCCGAACAGACTCCCACATCTTGGGTACCTCCGTGGAGTTTCCAGGGACAGTCCGACAATCGATCTCCCAGGTCGCCAACGGCATCTAGCAGGCTATGGGACCTCGATATAAGAAGCTCGCCTTTTTCACCTTTGCCATTCCTTCCCTGTCCTTCATACGGCACCATAGAGTCGAATTGTGTCTGCCTGCACCCGGACTCTTCCCATGCATCAACAAAATGTCCGATTTACTGCTCAAGCTCAAGGAGGCTGTGAAGAGGGGTGATGTGGCGCAGGCTGTTGTATGCACCGCCAGTGCCGACGGCTAGTTCACTGTGTGTAAGCTCTCTCGACAGAGAGGGGCTAAACAGATGCATGCTAACAAGACGGTTAACCAGACAAGTTCAACTTTCACGCTGCTGTCGGCCACAACAGCTCTGGTCCCCATGCACAGGAGGTCGATGAAGATGCCGTCTTCCTCCTGGCTTCGCAGAGCAAATTCGTCACCACGGTCGCCGCGCTGCAGGCTGTCGCGCAAGGCCTAATCGGGCTTGATGACGATGTGGCCGAGCACTTGCCCGAGTTAGCGGGGCAGCAAATCTTGAAGGGTTACGAGGGCGAGAAGCCTGTCCTTGTGGAGAGGAAGAATGTCATTACGCTTAGGTATGTCTTGACGCGGAAAACACAGTCCGAGACGCTATTCGCACAATCAAAAGAGCACACGGTTCGAGGCTAATGATTCTCCAAAAGACACTTAGTAACCCACACGTCTGGTGCAGTCTATGGCTTGTTCAACCCCTTGCTCCAGAGACATGAGACCGAGCGTGGAAGGGCTATCAGCCACGATCCAGACGTCGTCTCGCGCTACGGGGCGCCGCTCGTTTTCGAGCCGGGTGAGAGCTGGGGCTACGGCACAGATATCGACTGGGCCGGCCTACTTGTGGAACGACTAGCCAAAACTTCGCTGGAAGAGTTCATGAGCGAGAATATCTGGAAGCCACTGGGTATCACCTCGATGACTTTCTTCCCGGAGAAGCAGCCGGATCTGGACAAGCGCATGCCGCAAATCTCCGCGCGCGGTCCGGACGGGAAGTTGGTGCCGTTCACAATCCCCTACATCAACGAGGGCAATGTGGCTTGCTTTGGCGGACAAGGCATCTATTCCAGCATGCCAGATTACCTGACCTTCCAGCTCAGCCTCCTTCGTAACGACGGCAAGATCTTGCCGCCCGCTCTCGTGAACGATATATTCACTCCCCAGCTGCACGGCGCCGCTGCTGACGAGGTCTGGAATACCTTGCAATCGCCCACTGGCGACTCTGCCGCTGGTGAGATCTGCCCGGATATCCCGTTCAATTGGGGGTTAGGCGGCTTGCTGTTCATGGAGGATGATGTTGGAAGAAGGAAGAAGGGAACGATCAGTTGGGGCGGATTGACAAACTGTTTCTGGTCGATCGATCGGGGGAATGGGACGGCGCTGGCATTTGGAACGCAGCTGCTGCCACCAGGAGATAAGAGATGTGAGGTCTTCATCTCGGAAATTGAACGAGCAGTCACTGCATTGGCTGATCCCAACGCCAGCTCGTGAGACCTATGCCGACGTAGTCCTGCGAGAGTTCTGTTGTCGTTGAAGTGCCCAAAGCCTATACTTGCAGGCATAATTTGCGTGTTAGATCCGCTCCATCGTTGACAGAATGCTCGGTCTGCGAAATTGGCGTGCCGGGGTAACCTGATTCTGACACGCACATGTAGTCAAATTTATGCTTTTCCAAGACACCATCGATTGATACATCAGCATCGACAAGGCCTGAAGAACCGTGTAAGATAAGGATCGGGATAGGAGCTGGTCATCGAGTCGTGCTTGCTGTAGGCCGTCAAATTAATGGCGAAAGACTACCTATGCTGCTGGTAATTCTCTTGAACACAACCTTCTCAACCAAAAAGTCATGTTTTACTTTCTCGTGCTCTGCACATCATTTAGTGGTCTCGCCAGAGCTCATGCGGGTCCGACAGCATGTATAGAGAACGGATTAGTGATAGGCACAACGACAAGCCTTCCCGCTGCCAGTGCAACTGTGAACCAGTTTTTAGGCATACCATTCGCTCAATCGCCCCCGGAGAGGTTCTCACCACCTCAACCAGTCACACAAAAGTCCGTCATCAACGCTACAGCTTGGAAACCAGCATGCATCCAAGAATTCACATGTATGATGGACAGTAGTGGCTGTTTAGACTGCGACTAATCACTGGCAGATCCATTGGCCGCTCAGCAATTTACCGAATTGATTTTCAACCAACCCCCGCCACCGGAATCGGAAGACTGCTTGTACTTGAATATCTACAGTCCAGCTGCGCAATCTAGCGAGCTTGGCGGTCGTGCTGTCATGTTCTGGCTATATGGTGGTGGCCTGGAATTTGGCGGCGCCGGACAACCGAGTTATGACGGGAGTCATCTTGCTGGAAATGAAGATGTTGTGGTTGTAACAACGAACTATCGTACCAACGTCATTGGATTTCCAAGCTCTCCAGAACTGCCTCTTACTGGACACAACCTTGGTTTCTTGGATCAGCGTTTTGCTTTACAGTGGGTACAACGCAACATCCACGCTTTCGGAAGCGATCCTTCCAAAGTCACAATCTTTGGAGAGTCTGCTGGTGCTACCTCAGTCGATGCTCTTCTTACCAGTTTCTCCAAGAACTCGACGCCTCCTTTCCGAGGTGCTATTCTTGGAAGCGGCCAGGTTACTTTCAAACCAAGTTCCCCAGCTAGTAGTCTTCCAGCATGGTACAATCTGACTGTTGAGCTTGGCTGTCCTGGAAAATTCAAAAGTAACTTGAGCTGTGTTCGAGCTGCAAACGCGACTAACATAAAGCGCATCATTGAGATCAACGAACTCCAATTCCAGCCTATCGCTGATAATGTGACACTCGTTTCAGATCCTCTTCGGCGCCGGGCTCTAGGTGAGGTCGCCAACATTCCTGTTCTAGGTGGGACCAATGCACAGGAAGGTAGGTAAGCTGCTTTCGTTTCATGCTAGACACGTGATTTTGCTCACCAATGACAGAGCCTTTCAAGTTGGCCAGAACAACATCACCACCTGGTTCAATACTAACTTCGGATCTTCGCCATCGCTAGTTGCTGCGATCAAAGAGGCATATCCGCTCGGCGTAGATGGATTGGACCTCCCTTACGAGGTGATATCGCAAATCTATACCGACTACAGCTTTCAATGTGTAAGTCAGTCTTGTTAGATTGCAAGCCGCGCAACGCTCATACCTTCTCATAGCCTCAGGCACTTTGGGCAAATGCATCAGCTGCAGGAGGCATCCCTACCTGGCGATATTATGTCAATGCTTCTTTCGACAACACCCAAAGATACCCAAATCTAGGCGTGTATCATTCATCAGAGATCTCCATCGTTTTCTCCACATACCCCACCGTCAATACTACGACTCAAGAGTACGCACTCAGTCGTTTCATGCGTGGCGCCTGGGCGACGTTCGCCAAGAATCCAATCAACGGACCTGGATGGAATGCTGTAGGAAGTGGTACAGCGGGAGTGGTCTACAATGGTCGACTGGATGGTCAACTTAACAGTGGTGATGGATCTGTACTGCAAGAAGACTGGGACCTTGGCGTGCTGGGCGATGTCGGGAATGTTCATGGAAGCGGCGTTACTGTTTTGCCTCAGAGCGCGGTAGACGGCAAATGTGCTTTGTTTGCACCAGTTTACAAAGCCATCATGCAAGGATGATAGTGTCATTGGCATGTCTGGAAGCAGGTAGAGTGGAACACACAGGGGGGTGTTGTTGTTCATTCATAGGTACGCCGCAACGGATGAATGGCTGGTCATCGTGTCGCTCGGCACCTCTCGGTTACCCTCGCTTTCGATCGTGGACTCGAATTGACTTATGTAGCCTCGAGCTAGATACATTAATTCAGGAATGCTCGAGGCAACTTACCTCACCATACTTACCACGTAACCGACATGTGACTCACGTCAGTCTAAGCATCCCTGCATTAAAAGCACGACGAGATGTTACTAGGTCCGTCTTGTTCCCAGATTCTGAATCCACTGACCCAAGGGCTGGGACGACACCTCGCTTCATCCGTGGTCTGTCCCAAGCGTGAGTAAACTCTGCCGATGCCCTTGTAAGACTCTCCGCTTACATGTACTGCAGCGGCTCGACTCGTTCGAGTGGCGCTCCTTCTCAATTGATGTCAACCATCCTTAATCAGTGCTTCGAATTCGGAACCTTTTACGACAAAACAAGGAGGCCATTGGCAATAGAATACCCCATAGAAGGACGCACTAGTCGCAGGGACCCAAGTTCGGGAAGGCACAGTGTCGTACAAGCAAGCTGCCACAAGTGTCAAAGGATTCTTTTCAAATACCTACTCGTGTCCAATGGAGGCAACCAACGGGAAAAGGTTATGTGACTGGCCCCCAAAGAGTGATGCTCTCGATGTTACAGACAACAGTGTCCGCTTGCACAGTCGACTGGACACCAGTAATGCTGACATTTGTCGCACCATTGTAATTCCAAGGATACTCTGTGCAGAATGCTGTGTCGCTGCCGGTAGCAATCTGAATCGCGATCAGTTTGACGCCCCATCCAGAGACACTAACGACTTACTAGGATGACGTCTCCAAAGATGACTGGACCAAAATCCCAGGCTCCATAGAGTTCAGCTGCGAATGTGGCATCGTTCATCGTTTTGTCGGCGATCGGGAAGGAGTTTGTCGCGGTCACCTCACCACAATTCTTGTCTATTACGCTGACCCATTCGGTCCTGTTCAGGTCGCGGGTGTTGTTGAAGAACAAGATGTCACCTTCGACAGCACCAAAGCCACCTCCCCATTGAAGACCTGTACGATGAGTTAAATTCAGATTGGCCAAATTACCAGGAGGTATGAATTGCACTTACTCGGGTTAGAACAACACCATCCACTGCCAAACCACCAACCTCCCGATCTACCGTCAAGCACATTTTGGTACACGCCTGAGTTGTCCGTCGTCTGCAGTCCTGGCCAGAGATAGTTTGTGGCCGCTTCGTGGATCGCGGGAACGATCATGTTCCCAGATTGAGAGATGAACTCTTGTCCATCTGGTGTCGTGAATGCGACAAAATGCCAGTCCTGAGCGAGTGCACCGGCAAATAGAAGAGACGTCAGAGACGCGGTATGCGCTATGGTATCCATGACTGGCGACATTTCTTGCACAAAATACTGTCTGGAGAGAAGCGCGAAGAATGTTGGAACGCGACGATTGAAGATTCGAGGTGAAAAAAAGGAAACGCAGCAGAGGCTCAAGTCGCTCCGCTCCATATACATGTGATTTTACAGAAGGGGCCAGACTTTATTGCCTCTGGGTATAGTTCTCGTGTATAACGATTTTATAAAACGTGATGTAAAACGGTCCCCTGCTTTGCGAGGGGTTTTGGAGCCATGCAGCACTAAACTTTCGAGAGCCGTTTGATGTCACGGGGTTGGCCATTCTTCTGCGTTTCGGCGCTCGTCTCGTCATGCTGTCTTGTTCCATCATGATATGCTTTATCGTCCATGGGATGGTAGTCCATCAGGGGGTCCGTGCCAAGTGCGGCTGCTTCAAAAGCCATGATGAGTCACCAATGCTTGCTCCAGACATTTGACGACAACCTCTTAGAACAAAGTCGAAAGCACATATTAATCTCGAAAACGTCAGGATCTTGATCTGCAGCAAGTCTTCCCAGAAACTCCAAGTCTGGTACGATTGGATTGATCTTAGCAGACACTTCCGCTGACCACAGAACAGATAGAAAAGTGTGGCTTCTACGGCATACACGTTGCACCTGCCCATTGAGCTGTGTCATCCGCATAGATCCAGGATGATCCTTAGCGTCAAAGCAGTGGACTGGGATCACACAGACGCTTCGAGGCTACGCGCAGCCCAGCAAGAGGAGATTGATCCGACCGGTACCGATGAATGTGGAGTCATACCAACCGCAGCAGATATCGCTGTATTTCTGGTTGTATATCTTGGATCCGATGCAGTCGCATGTGCTGGGCTGCGCCACTTGGTGGATGCTACTGAGCCGACATGTATGGATATTGCTGAGATCAAGAGGATGTTCGTGGTGCCTGATGTACGTGGTTAGAACTATTAGGGCCGGTATGTCGGCGAGTATCTGTTGCAAGCTTTGGGCCAAGAGGCGCAAGACCGAGGCTGATTGGTTCTCAAGTTAGAGACAGGGAGGACCTTGACTCGGGCTCGCCAATTCTATGAAAGGCATGGCTTTCATGAGTGCAGTGTCTTCGGCTCATACGATGATTTAGGACCCCGCGTCTTTTATCGTAAGCTCATTGCCTAGGCGTACTAAACAAAGCAAACACTAGATGAAAATCATGTCTTGTGGTCTATGAGAATAGTTTTTTGGTATACTCACAAGCATTGAGAAGCCTTTGCTCGATTGTCCGAGGATCTCACGAACCATTTCTGAAGCCTGATATCCCATATCTGGAAGATCCCAGACACTTAGAGAGTAGGCCAGCTAGAGTGATCCATCCGTCAGATACGAGACCTATCAGTATCCTGAGAGACGGATTTAGGACTGTTCTCGCTCTATGATTGCCGACAAATCCTTGGGCGAAAGTAAACTAAAATGCAAAGCGTGTTAGTAAACTTCGATGGAACTAGTCACTGGTTGACTTAATGGCTAAAGCAGCTACACTTCAGATAATGAATTTCAAGAAGAATCCATACTCTAGAACTAATTGAACTACACGAAAAGTAAGGCACAGTTTGGAGTACCTCTATACCAATCGCGGGTCCGATACGCATGAACGAGATCAGCAGAGTTCTCTCATACCCCATCAAAGTTGCTCAAGCTCGCCATCCTGCATCCTGCCTTGTCTCTTGGTGTACCTGACGAGTCCATCCTTCTGTTTCGTGGTGGCAGGAGCAAGCCATGTGATCTGCCACATGAGCACAATCATGCTCACTAGACCAGCAGCGGTACCTGGGGCTTCAAACACGACAACCGCCTTGTCGTTACCGATAGCGAAGCCACAGATAAAGGTAATCTTTATATATCGTCGTCAGTAGTGCTACAATGACGGAGCCGAACGTCTTCAGACATACCGTGGCAGCGACCAACCCTAGAAGACCGGCATAATCCAATGCGAGAATTGTGTTTCTCTTATTGGCGGTCCGGCTCGTGATTGCGTGCCAACCGAAACTGGCATCGATCATGGCGATAGCAGAGCCGAAGATCGCGATTATCAAGGCACTTGGGCCGCGGACACAGACGGAGCTCAGAATCGAGAATGCGAAGCAGGCGAAGGCGAAGAAGAGCTGTGACCGAGATTAGACACAAGTATCGCGATGGAAGAGTAGAAAAAGATACATACCTGGATCACTCTCAGAACCACTGGCTTCGAGAGCCCCCCATCGTGAGCTGGAGTCATAGCGATCGATTTGGACTGAGAAATGAAAAACGCTGAGCGAGTCTGTTGTCAAGGGGAATTGAGGAGCAGCGTACTTTTATTCTTCATTCGAGAAGCAGAAAGGCAACCACCTTTATATCTCCTTCACGAGGCGTTGCTAATGTTTCGTACATCCGACGGTTCGAGATGAGCAACGGCGGTAGCATTGAGGCTGGTTCAATAAGAATCATCGCGATTGCACTCGGCGACGAAACGCTCATCACGATGACTGACCAGACTTTCGGTCTGCCTCATTAGTCAGTCCTGGTGCCTGATAATGTGGATAACGCCAAGCATGTCATATTGTGCTTGCCGCCTACGAACCAGGTTTGCAAAAAGGAAGAAAGACTCGGTTCTATAATTAGAGTCCGCGTATGTCTCTTCGAGATGTATTCAACGGTCACTCGTGCTCTTTCGTAACTAGGCAGCAGCCAAGAGGAAATCAGGCAACAGTATACTGTCACTCTAACCAGACTGTGATGACCAAAAGGGTCAAAGGTGCACGAGCAGTGATGGTCGACGTAGTATCCGTGCGGTCTTGGGGTCGTTCGCGAACTGACCTGTAAAGGCAAGCAAGGTTGAGCGCCGAGGATTTATAAACAGTAGGCGAGCTTGTTCTTCCTTGGGTATTCTTCTAGCCCGATCATGAGTGGTAACGCTCATGATGGGTCTGACGTCGGATTACCTATTCGAGCGATCCCGGCCCTCGCACGGTGCCTGCATTGGAAGAAGCTAATTTTGATGTCGTTCTAACGCTCGGCGTGTCCTAGTGCTGATGAGCTTTATATGTTCTTTTGTGGTCGCTGACGAGATCATGTCAAAGTGCTTCAAAGCTAACTTCTCTTCGGACACCAGCAAGTTGGGATCATGCTCATGCCTCGTGGCTCACCTGGATTCAACAGGAAATGGCTCTACAGCGCCATGACCGAAACACCATCTGGCCGCGTTCTCCTCTTCACCACTACAATATGGCTGCTCAGTCTCGTGTACTGCAAGAGAAGGTACTGGAGAGATCCTCATTCTGCCTTTTTCGATAGCTCAACCGTCTACGACCAAGGCTATAGCAGTGTACGTGAGCAGGAAGGAATGGACTTTCTTGGCAATTCGTCGTCTCCGACATATACCACATCGTTAAATCCCGTCATCTGTGCAGGCATCGCCACAGTCAGGCGTAGTAATGTGCAATACGTCAATACTACTGTTAGCAGTATGCTTGTTGGCTTGAGTCGAGAAGAACGCAGCGCGGTTCATGTCAGACTTCTCTTTGCCGACACAAATCCGCAAGACCATCCAGACTACGGTCGACAGTGGCTCGGACGGCTTGATCACGTCGAGACATACAACGTGTCGAGTCAGACCTTGGCTCATCTTGAAGCACTGGAGGATGCTCAAAACTTCTATGAAAAGGGGGTGTTGTAGGTGGATCCGGATAAATAGACCTCAGCTCGCTGTTCGCTAATGTTTTCGAACAGTGATTATACCTACGTCCTCGAACAATGCCTGAACCATACTACGGCCCCCTTTATCGCAATTTTCGAAGATGACCTTGTCTTCGCGGATGGTTGGCTTGCGAAAACCGTCCAAGGTCTGGCACGACTCCGCAATCTGTCAGACTCGTGGTTATACCTTCGCCTGTTCTACACCGAAACCTCGCTTGGATGGGACAAGGATCAAGATTTTTGGTATCGATACTTTTGGTTCACGATTCTGCTGTTTGCATCTGCAGCTGCAGCTTGTTTGACAACCGTGCGGCGTATGTGTAAGCCGACTCGTAGAGTCCTTACGGTTCCCGCAATTATCGTATCATCGTTAGTGACGGTACCCGCTTGCACGGTCCTGTACTTCATGATTGGCAAGTACAGCATACATCCACTCTCAGGAGTGACAAGAATGGACAGATACGGCTGCTGCACACAGGCGCTCGTGTTCCCGCGAAGTCGAGTTCCCAGTCTGATATCATACCTAACGCAACGAAAAGCCGGACAGACTGATAGCATGATCGAAGAGTATGCGGACGCGTTGAGACTTGAGAGATACGCGCTGTCACCTCAAGTGGTTCAACATATTGGACTGGTGTCGAGTCGCGATAATCTCGAAATCAATACGAAAAGCACTTGGGCTTTCTGGTTTGAGGCAAATGATGCAGCACGATTGCGTGCAGAGCATGAAGAGTTGGCAAAAGGAACCATTTGGAGGGCCAGCGGTAGAGATACTTCGATCTGAGCAGCTAGCTGGAGTTCCAGAGTGCGACTGATTATCATCTTCGGCGGCAACGCGGGTTCTGCTCACTGGAGACCATCCATAGATTGTGCCAAAGACGACTCTAAGCTGGACTTCTGTCAGAACAGATTTAGCTTGATCGTGTAGCTGTAGTATCAGACATTGAGTGTCGGAGAGATGACACATGAGCCTACAGTCCGTGTGAAAAAAGCCAGTTCAATCCAAACCGTGATGGGAACAACAATATCGGCTGCCAGTTGACTGAGACGTCGTATAGCTATTCCATCTCGCCATATGCTGAGCCCGTATCATTAATGCTCAATATAACACAGTCGCAAGATATTGGTCCACGGCTTCAATGCTCAGTTTTCTTCGAATAGTGGACATGGTTGCAGCTGGGCCGATGCTAACAGTAACCTCGTTCCCTCCGGGCGACGTAGGGCCTTTCCAATTCCTTTGCTATCAATTTCGTCAACGATGAAGAGCGGTCATGCATTCGGTTGAGACCAACCGCAAATGGCGTCCAGGCATCAGCATTCTTTTGAGTTCGCAGTCTTAGGTGTCGCACCTATGCATAGCTCAAAGACAGGATGCTCGGGCATTTTTCTTCCGACCAGAAAGCCCGTTGGATCACAGGCGTGCGTAATCAGAGCCTTGGCGGAGACCAATAATTTGCAGGATGCCATTGAGTTTGGGTGTTCAGATGCTTTCGTGGACAAACGCTGCGCTAAAGTGTGATTCGCGGTCGCTTATTTAAGCCTTTCGGATAGCGCCCGTAGCTTGCAGCCTCTAGCTGCATCTGGCAGCCAGCATGAGCTTAATCCATGCTGCCATTTGGTCGAAATGATCCTCCACTCTATCTATAGATCTCCGAAAGCTCGGAACTTTGACCAATCATCGACGCACTTGATCTTGAACATGTATCGAGGACAGTGTAATTCGATAAACGACCAAGTTCCAGACGGCGTTCAAATGTCTTCTAGAGATGTGTAGTTGTATCAGTTGTGATGTGTGGTCCTTATCATAAGAATGTGTTTCTCGTCCAGGTTGTGGAATCCAAGCTCGAGCCTGGGAGCCGCGGGTGCCGAGTTATGGGAAGAACCTCTCGGCCGAAGTGCAGTAAACACAGCTCTAGGCGATCCTTCGCCCCAACTGTTCAAGAGGCTGTCACTGATCATACACTGTCCAAACTTTGGCCCACAGAATACGTAGTCTGCGGCTTGGGAGCTCCTAGAAAAGTTCAGCTTTGGAGCAAGGTCTTCTTATAGGCATCTATATCTCGTTCTGGGCCCCCAAATCCCGCATTTCCCATTCTCGCATCACCGATCGTCGCGAAAAGATGTTGATGAATGACAGTGCTGCACGTGCTTTGACAATAGGTATCGTTGCATGGCTGATGGCATTTGTGTACTGCAAGACTCATTTCTACCGGGATCCGGGCAGTGCATTTTTCGATGAGGAACGAGCTTTCACTCGACAGTACAGTGCGTACAGAGAGGAGCAGTCAACGACCTTTTTCGAAGAAGCTTCTGCGAATGCCACCAAAGCATCAGAGTCTCCCAGCCTGTGTGCTGTATTCATGTCCATCAAAAGAACAGAAAAACAACCCTTAGATGTATGTACCCAATCCGCAACCTGCTTCGGCTTGTCTGGTAACCTGCAGAAGAGATAACGATGACATGCTTTCATGGACAAATAGCTGACACAACCATAGTTAGCTGTCGCTAGTGCCCTACAAGGCCTAACGCCACAGGAAAGAGCAGACGTCAACATTGGAGTGTTGTTCGCCCATACAAACCCAGAAGATCATCCCAGCTGGCACAATCCTCGACTTCACGATTTAGTAGACGAAGCCTTCACATACAATCTGGCTCAAGAAGATCACACGCTGTTACACGAATGGGAGACTTCTCACAACTACGCGCACAAGGGCGTCTTTGATTACATCTACAGCCTTCAACATTGTTTAAACACGACGGAATCCCCATACATTGCAATATTCGAGGACGATGTCATTTTCGCTGATGGCTGGCTCTCATACACCCTCAACAATCTTTCCAACCTTCGCAAGAAACTGGCATCCAACCCTCAGAACTGGCTGTTTCTCAGGCTATTCAACCAGGAACGTTCGACTGCATGGGCATCTAGAGAAATAGGAGGAAATCACGAGTTTGTCATCACGATCGCCATGGCCATTCCGTTAATTGCTCTAGTCCTTATCCTCAGAAACTGCTATCCTGTCCTCTATCGATGTATGGACAACTGGACGCTTGCAGTCGTGTGTCTTGTCATCCTACCGGCATTCATCATTCTCTTCTATCAAGCAGGCAAAGCTTCCATGCTTCCGCCTCGACCAGGCGTACGCGCAGAACCATTTGGATGCTGCACACAAGGCCTCATATTCCCCAGGAGTACAGCAGAGTTCATCCTGGACATACTCGAAGAGCGTGGCAGTGGCCAGCTGGATATTGTCTTGAACGATATAGCGCGCGATCAAGGGCTCACACGCTATGCGCAATATCCGGTCATGATGCAACATCTGGGTAAGTTTGGCCACACTCAGCAAGATACTCGTTCTGACATGTTTTCCCACAGGCAAGAACTCTGTACGAAATACAGTGAATCGTGAGGCACAAGCCGTATGGAGCATGACTTTCGAACAGCTGTCGCCATATCAGCTTGAACAACAACATCTCGAAATGAATCGACTCAGATACGGTGCATGATAAGGCCAAGCGAAAGAATGGCACCATCTACCTGGTTTATGGATTGAGTGCTCTGTCGGTCAAGCATACTCGCTTGCGGATCTGGTGTAGCACTTCTCGCAGCCCTCAGAGTGCTTGCCATCCCACTCGCAGACAAGTAGAAAGCTACAAGCACGAGCGCACAACCTTGAATCGTAAGGCGCAAAATCGCGCTCTCAGGGTTGATTGTGTCCGGCTTTTGTATCAGCTGCAGATAACCATCGAGACCTATTCGTACGAGATAAAATCAACTACTTCCTTCCGCATCGAATGATCATCGACGAACACAGACCGCAAATGTGTTGTCGCTCGTGAGCGGCACAGCTACTCAATCTCATTGCTGCAAAGACACCCGCAGATCCAGATAGTCCATGATAGAGCGGCAGCGAATACTTAAAGTTGAGCACAGACATGACTCGCGTGTCGAAATCGTGACTTATTCTCTGGTGCAGAAGTCGTGAGAATTTGCCACCCCCGTCTTCGAACTTAATAGCTCTAAGCTCTCAATTCTAGCTAATTGACCATTATACATCGAATTTAGCACGTTATATAGCTCTTATCACTCCGAATTTAAGCGGTATAGCTTAAAGTAGTTACTTATTAGTTAATGCTAGATTTCTAGCAGTATTAACCTATATAATAGGTATCGTTCTAAGGCTAATTCTAAGCTCGCGACATGCCTCTAAACGACTATAAGAAGGATCTTATATAGGCCATGTTTTACGACAACTACGACGTTAACACTGTCTTAAAAGTCGTGCCCTATACGCCTTATAGCACGCTCTATCGTATATAGAAGAATATAGATCTCTTTAGGCAGGTTTAGAAGCCTTCCTTAGCTATTAAGCGTATAGGAGCGCTACATAAGATCACGCCACTAATGCGTAAATATCTTATTAATCTGCTCTCTAGAAAGAACGACCTATAGTAGGAAGAGTTAGTCTTCGAATTATAGTGTTAATTCGACGTTATAGTTAATAGGTTAACTATCTTAAGACTCTTAAAG